CCCCCCCCCCTCAGCCCAGCCGAGACCTGGGCGACAGCAGACCGGTCCAGGTCTGGAAAAGGTTGCCTGTCCCTGATTTAGACACATCAATCCCCTTTCTTTGCAATTTCCTTTCAATATGAGAGTCTTTCCTTTGTTCACCAGCTTAGTGCTGCAGCAGGAAGAAATATTTTCTGTCATTGTGACCAAGCTCCTCAAATGGCTCTCCCAACTCTCTCTGTCCAGTTGGAGCCTTTGAGTTCTTTATTCCTCAGGACCCTCAGCAACTGAGACTGAAATCCTTCGGGTGCAGTATCTCTGATTTATCTTAATCTAACATCTTTATTTCTCTAGTTTTGTGTGTGTATGTGTGTGTGTGTATGTGTTGATTTCCCCTTTTTAAATAAAATGTATTTCATGGAGGATATGCCTTTGTGGCTTCTCTTTGCCTCTGTATACCTAGGAATAGTCCAGAAGGGTGCGTAACCCAGCTAGTAATTTGAGCTAATATTTAATCCCCCTAAAATCTTGGACTGTCCTCCAAGACAGGCCCCAGGCAGTGGTTACAGCATGCATGACCTTGGGATTATTAGATTACTTCTTTATGCCTCCTAATGTAAGAGGAAGTACTTGGATGGAAGACCACTTATAAATACGAAGTGCAGTAGGGTAGATTTTGGAGGAAGTGGCAAAACAGGCAGCTGGCAAAACCACCTCTGAGTATTCCTTGCTCAAGAAAACCCTATAAAATTCATGAGGTCACCATAAATCAACATAAAACACACATAGGAGATTATCACATGGAGGCTTACTGTTCTTAAAGTGTCACTAGATCATCCCTAAAGCACGAGATTGTGATCACCGACCACACTTGTCTCCCATGAAGAAAACTTAATGGAGATGTCCCCTTGCCTCTCCCATCATTAAAGCGTTTGCAGAGCCCTTGGGCATGCCCACTGGTGCACACCTCCATTCAGGCCTATGGGGCTTGAATATATGCAGTTTTCCATTCTCGAAGGGGCAGAATAGATCCCCTGGGAGAATGGAGGGTTGACTGTATTTCATATTTTGTTATGTGCTTACAGATTTACAGTAAAGCTATCCTAAGATTTACTGGCAAGATTTATTTGTAGGATGTTTTCCATTGGGTTCCTCTAAGTCTCAGAAAGTGTGTTTTGCCCAATGTCATTCAAAAGTATTCTGTGACTCAGCAGTGATTTTAATACTGCTCTCATGGAGTCATAATCCAACAGTAAAATCAGCACATCAAGTTGGTTGTATTTAGGATTACTCTTTGTATCTCATTCTGTTTCTCTTTAATAAATACATTGGTGCAAAACCGCTTGCTAGTCCTAACTAGAGTGGACCCATTGAATCAAGTGTTGGCTGGAAAGTGACCACATGCATTCAGTAGGTCTACTCTGGTGAGGACTAATTATTGGATTTTGTACTTCTTTGCTTTTTTAACCTTTTAGGTCAAAATCTAAAGAATTACATTTCCCCCTTTCCTCTTGCTTGTACTCAAGCTTTTTATCAGCTTTTTAAAGTTAAGAGGTTGGGGAGAATGAATTCTATGAAGTACCATGCTTCAGGACGGTACTGTATGCTATATGAATGACTAAAATAAATATATTAGTTTATGTTCATGTCTTACTGAAATGAAACCATAGCTTTGAGTCAATACCACCACCCTGTCTTGAGTGACTTCTTTAGATTAAGCATCATGTACACTCACCCCTCCACATTTGTAGGTTTGACTTTTGCTGATTTGATTATTCACTGATTTTATTAATATGTTCTCTTTAGGAATATCTAGGTCCTCCAGCGCAACTCTATGGTCAACTTTAACCAAAAATCACACTGAAGGGCCTAGAGATTCCTAGAAAGAACACTCCACTAGACAGATCCTCCAGCACAATTATATGGTCAGTATAGGGCCTAGAGATTCCTAGAGACGTCTTCTCTCAGGTAAAAACATAATGCTTTTGTTATTTGCGGTTTCCCCCCCGGTGAATGTGGCAGAACAAGCATAGTGCTTTCAGGTCTTTATTTTATCTTGCCATAACAATTCCTCCCTTCTTTTAACTGTAAGGCAGGGGCCAGGACCCTATGTGCCTCCTGAGATTTTGTTAGGCTTCCAATGTCCATAATCCTTCACCTTTGGCCATGCTGGGTAGGCTAATGGAAGTTGTAGAGCAAAACAATGAGGAATGGGCTGGCAAGGATTCCTCACCCTGGTTTTAAGGGATGCACTTACATGAAATGACATTGCAATAACCATTTATGTAGTTTTTATTTTGTTAAAGTATAGCCAGGTAACAATACAATTAGTTCCCATATTTTCCATTAGCATCTTCAACGGGTGCTGTTTCTTGGCTGACTTCTCTGCCATCATGCATGGTAATCTACTCCAAAATAGCTTCTCCCCCCCCCCCTTTGTTGCTAAAATGTTTCAATAATGTTAGCAGTTCATCCATCCAGGCTGACTTGTTTATCACTGAACTATAGCCCTGGCAAGCAGCTTGCTTTGATAATCACCCTGGGCAAGTGCCTAGTTGGAATAGAAACAGTGTTTAATGTTTTGAAGAAGAAGAAAAAAAACTTGTTACTAATGGTAACAACTAATGCAGCCTAAACCTTTGAAAGCACATGCCTGAGGTTTTTGTGGGATATATAGGGCTTAAGAAGGGGAAAACAAGGTCCAAAGCAGTCCATATTTGAACTGAGTGTCAGTAATTGGCAGAAGTGAACTTACACCAGTTTAATGGCTTTGGAACTGTGGTTCTTCTTTCCCCTTTGCTTTGACTTTAAAATGTTGAATTTTGTATTTGATGATTTGACAGATTGCCTCAACTGTTTTGTAAAATAAGAAGAGAAATGCACTCAAAACAGGGTCTTCGGTGTGCAAATCACTTATAGCCAGCAAGTGTAGGAATATTCAGTGGTAAAATGTGTTCCAATAAT